TGCCAGGAGGCGGGATGAACAGTTCGACAGGAAAAAATGGCTTCGCGTATGAGGTGACTTCCAGCTTCCCAGGGTGGACCAGCGAAGTTCCTCCAGCTCTGTTCCTGCAGAGACCTTGCTGGCTTCCAGGGTGATGCCCGTAATCTCTACCAGCATTTCGGTCACCTCTGCTGGGGTCCTTGCAGAACTGACAGTTCTGGGGTAGCATCTGTTTTCACAGGAGGTCTCTGCGGCGCGTTGACGTCACTGGTGCGAGACCCCTAATGCAAAGTGAAAGTCTGAGTAGTTTCTGTGTAGATCTTGTCAAAGATTCTCGTGCAACCTTAAGGCCCGTGAGGATGTCACAACCAGTAACAACTTGAGTACTTGTACAGCCCTTGTTACGTGTCTTTGCTTTCTTTGCAAACTCAACAACAACGACCAGCTGGATGAAAACAGTGCCCCTGTTGCTGGTGTGCTCCTCCACCACATGCCTCACCTTCCTTGGTGAGGAACTTTTTAGGATGAGTTGGAGAAGCGTGAATTGCTTTCTCCTTCTGCAGAGCCAGTGTTACACTGGCCAGCGTCTTTTTGGGCACAGGCTGTTACTCTTTTACTACCTTTGTCCATCTGTAAAGGTCCACAGTGGTTTCTGGGCACCGTAGTCCTTGACTGTAATACTTCGTTTTTGAGACTTCTGAACTCCCTGACTGCTTCAACATGGAATTGAACTGGACCCTGTAGGAATCATCAGGTTTTTCATTGCATTGGGTCACATAAAATGCTTGTTGCTGTGTATCCCGAAAGTCAAACAGCTCCTTTCTGTGACTGTAGGATGGGACTTCAAACGTACCATGAAATTCAGCAAAGAATGGAAACGTTTTGTGGCCCTAAAAAGGAATTGCAGCTAGCAACATGATTAAGAAGCTTTGAGTGCCTCTGTTTGAAAATTTAAGTTCAGGGTGATGTTGCAGGCATTGATTATTTCATCTCTCCAAAAAGGAGATTGATTTGCATCTCCTGACGTGCAAGATACCGGTTTCAATCCGGTTTTCACTTCCAGATAAAAGCCCGGCCTTTTGGTGTTTCTGTGGGAGGGTCCTCAGAAAAGTGTTCATTCCAGTGTTTGATCACCAGAGATATCGATGCATGAGGATTTTAATTTCTGAAAGATCGGCTTATAAAAGGCTTTTCATGATTTGTGTAACTAATTTGATGAGGCTTGTTTGAAGGCTTGAGGCTTGCTGGGTCCTAGGGTAAATATGTAGAAATTGTACCTAATTCTAAGCTGGTGTTGGTCACAGTTTCAGGCTTTTCTTTCTCAGAGCCGTTTCCACTCTGCTGACTCTACTTTTCAACTCAGCTACTTCTTGTGCTAGATGTGACTTTTGTGTATTTAGTGACCCTCAGTGGGTTCCTTGAACTTGCCTCGTCTCCCTTGACTCCTTGTAAATGGCCAACATCCACAGTACCCTGTGGCAAGGCGTTTCACAGCTTACCAGAGTTTGGTGCGAGGAACCACATCCTTTAGATTGTTTTGATCCTGCCTCCTCTGAGCTCCGTTTGAGTTGTTCTTGCAGTGGGAGAAACGGTGAAAAATGGGTCTTTCTGCATCCTGAGCCACTCATGACTTCATTACCTTCTGTGGCATCGTTCTCAGTCGCGTCGTTTCCAGACTGAGGAATCTTTGCTTGCTGAGGTCATGCTTATGTAGAAGATGATGTATGCTTTTGATTACCTTTGTCTGCGTCATTTCCAGTTCTGCTTTTTTTTCCCCCCCTTAGAGGAGAAGCATTAGAAATGCACGTAGAGCTCCAGAGGAAGGTGCTCTGGGGACGTTCGCAGCGCCACAGCGCTGTTCTTTTGGGGTCTCTGTTCAGTCTTAGCGGACTGTTAATTACAGCTGCCTCTCTCCTCAGCGGAGGCCTCGTTTTGATACAGCGGGTTTTTAGATTGCTTCCCCAGGGTGGCCTGGGCCGGAATGTCTCATCTACCAGCGCTTGGGTCTGTCTGTGTGCTGGGGGGTGGTGTGCCAATATGTACCCCTTTTAAGAAGCGTTTGCTGAACCTCCCGTTACAGCTCTTTCAGCATTTACTCTAGTTCCGCCTGCGGCACGTGCTCTCTGTGACTTGCCCTGTGCAAGGACTGTGTTTTCGCTGCCCTTCAGCATCCACATCCATCCCACTGTGACTGTCCCGGCAAACCAGGACTTCCCAGTTGGCGAAAGACTGGAGAGGGAATAAGAGGCTGCGGGCGGCCCTCAGGTGAGGGAGGAGAGTCATGCCCTCCGGTCAGCGCCACCTCTCTCTGCAGAGCCCACTGGCTGCAGTATTTGGGGGGGGTCTCAAGCCCTGCTGGGCCCTGTATCTGTGCAAGCCGTGTCTTCGTACCCTGAGAGCGTGGCTGCCTTGCTAGAAGTCATTGCTGAGGCTGGGTTGGCCAACTGATCTGTTGTGGCATTAGCGGTGAGCCGGTGTCCTTAAGTTCTTGTATCACCAAGAGTTGGTCTCCATGGTAGTAAATCGCTAGCTTTTGTGGGTTTGTGCTGATAGCTGCTAGTGACACTGACGCAGCAGCACGTTACGTTTTGGGAATAAGTGAGTTTAAAATGAATTCCACCTGACTGAGATTTTTTTTTTAAGAGGCAGTTGGATGGGAAACGGAAAAAAGTAAAAACTTAAAACGAGCAAGCGTTACAGAAATCAGCTTATCTGAATAGCAGGAGTCTCCTATTGCGCACGTGAAGTGCTACGGTGTGCTTTTAATAGCATTTTCAAAGAATTCAACCTTTCCTAAACGTTTCTCATGTTGTGTAATTTTGCCATTGTTGAGCATGTGCGTGCGATCTGGTGCAAGCAGGCACACGCTCACCTTGTCTCTATTCCACCTTGCTTAGTTTGTGCCTGTTCAAAAGAAGATGATGGTCTTTTTACTGCAAGCAGTTTTTCTTCCAGCCTGTAAACTGCCAAATATATGTGTGTGGGGACTTCAACAGTTATACTTGCTGTCCATTCAGCGGCAAGACTTTATTTTTGTTTGCGTCATTTATAAAAACCAAGCCTGAATGCAAGCCATCCTTTCTGCCAGTAAATTACCCTTTTACATAGAATAGTCAATATTTTCGAGATCATTTTGATACCGTCCTTATTTTAGTGTTCTGCTAAATGTTGGGTAGAAAGGAGTTAATTAAAATTCAAATGAACTTTGTTCTTGTTTAGAAGGATCGACCATGACTGTACCACTGCAAACCTGACATCGCACAGAACAAGCAAAAAACGTACTGAATTAATTCAGTAAACATTTCATAAGGTGTTTTATCGCATCTGTAAATATTTGTTTGTGTTTTGCAAAATAAATATTCACAAATGCTGCTTGTTTCTGTTTCCTAGTTCAGTGTCTATACCACAAAAATACCCAGAAATTCAGTCGGGGTTGCAGTTTTGTTATGCTTTTTTGCTGGTCAGCGTAGGCCCCCCCCCCCCCAACTAACAAAATGCCGATAGCACAGAAAGCACTTGCACTGTGGGTAGTTTGACTTGCATGCTGGTACTTCCCAGGGCTACGTCAGGATTTGCTTTCGCACATTGTAACTTAGCGTGAGTATTTTAGGATGGGGAGGTGCGTCACTCTCTCCGAAACAGATCATGATTCTCGTTGCTTGTGGGGATTTTTTCCAAAGGTGTTGATCTAGTGTTGGTACCGGTTCTCTTTGCAACACGGTCTTTGCTTTTTCATAATAAGCTTCTAAAGAAAACGGAATTTGTCATGTTTATAAAATTCAGACAACTTTTTCTTTCTAAAAAAAAAAAGTCATTCAGAAAAGGTCAACGGTGGGTGTAGTAGGTAAGAATTCAAAAAGGCACAGAACAAGAGCCAGATCGTGGGTTGCTGCAGTGTCACAGATCGAGGAGACTTCTGACATCTCTCCTCGAAGCTGGCGCTCCAGTGAATGCTAAAGGCAGTTCAGCCAGTTGTGGCCAGAAGCAGTTCTAAGACAAACTGGCAAGTAGGGATCCGAAGGGATTAATTTGCCAGGAAATACTTAAAAGAACAAAAGAAGTGTGACTTAACCAAAT